CAGGGCCCCCCGTGTCCCCCCGATGCCGTGGACCCGCTTTACCTCACCCTTCCCCTTGCTGGGGCCCTTTGTCCCTCTCTAAAGGGTGGCCAGTCTCACCTTGCAAGCCATGGGGGCCTTTCTGCGAGTTTTGGGGACCCCTTTCCCCTCCTGCAGTCTGCACTGCTCTCCCCTGAGCTCCTGCATCCTTCCTAGTACAGGGTAAAGGGAGATCCGGGGGGAAAGGGGGGGTTGAGACCAGCAAGGTTGTGATTCAGGTGGGGTGAACCTTGTGTTGCCCTAAGCTGGTGTCGACTGCTGTCACCCCGAAGAGAGCGTGGGGGCATGGCTGCTCCCCAGGGAAGCACCTCTTAGGCGGAGGGGAGCAGACAGCAAAGCAAACTGGCCCAGGGAGGCTCAGATAAGAGGAGGAATCTTGCCTGAAATAACTTTACTTTTTAAAACATCCTTAGGCATGCAAAGAATCCGGATCGCAGATGGGGGAGGCAGAGATCTGGCGTTGAGCAGTGGCGGCTGAGCCTGGTGATGCTGTATGGGCATCACTGGGAGTATTTTTATTGGAGCTGATAGAGAAGGCCCAAGGCTGGCCGTGCCTGTATGGAGCCTCAGGGGGTTTTTTTTCTCCCTCCAGAAGAGGTGGTCCCACACATTCTCGTAGGTTTTTGTGTGAGCAGGGCAGCTGCTGAGGCTCAGATCCCGATGGGAAGAGCTTGGCTGAGCTTCTGCTGGGCACCCGCTCCCCACAAGGACCAGTGCAGTTGCAGGCGGTGTCCCCAGGGGCTTACAGAAAGGGCCCCCGTCAAATTAATTGCCAGGGTGGCTTGTACAGGTGATTGGTAGTGGTAGGTTGGGGTCTCAGGGAACTCGGGTTTGCACCAGGTACGTGATGTGACAGATGGGGAAGAGAAACTCTGAGGCGCATCCCCAGCGGGTCAGGATCTGTCTGGCTTTGGTACACAGTGGCTCTTTCGATTTTTGGTGAGGCTTGTGCTTGGCCCTGGGCTGGTTACCATATCTTGTGACTGAGATGAAACCCAAGCGACCGCTGCTTGAGCCTTTCATGGCTCCCCCCTCATGGGGGAGGCGACGGCACTCTGCCTGCAACTGTGATCCAGTGGAGCAGGAACTGCCTTGGGGACCGAAGGATGTGAGTGAGACAGGGACTTTGCTGGAGGAGGAGCCAGAGAGTCTCGGGGCGATGCTGCAGTGGGGCTGCGGGTGCTCAGCTGGGGCAGGGAGGCTCTGCCAACCCCAGTGCTAGACCCACATCCTCTGCTGAAGGCAGATGCTGATCTGTAAAGAAGAGGCAGCGAGTGGGAGTTGGGGCTGCCAGGCCCACATCAGAGCTGCTCTGTGCATCTTGGTGGCAGCAGCACAGACAGCAGGAACCTGATGGAGGGGTTCAAGCCAGCGTTCTGCCCTCACCCTCTGCCTCGAGGGTTCTCCTTATCCCTGGCAGTGCTTGGCCAGGGCGTGGGTGATGCTTCCAAGCGGTGCCCCTGGAGCCAGGATCCAAGCGCCCACGGCTGCTCCTCCCTCACAGAGGAGGATCTACTGGTTTGTGCTGCTTGGGACTCCTCACCCAGGTGTGTGCCCAAGCCCTGGTGGCATGCAGGGATGTGACCATCGCTGTTATCTGCCTTCAACAGCAGCACTGACGGCTTCCGGCCCCCTTCCAAATGTCACTGAAAGGTCCCAGGGTAATCGCTGGACCTTGGGGCAGCTTTTCTGTGTCCAGGACTATCCTGCTTGTCTATTGCTGGGGTCCCCGAGCAGGGGCTCCAGGGCTGGTAATGGGTCTGGGGGCTGTTTGGGTGGGTGGGAGCTGGGGAATCCCACAAGCCCAAGGCCACGCTGCCAGGGAATGAGTCACCATCAGTCTTGATGGCTTTCCAGCCCTTTCTGATGCGTACTCTCTGGCTGCAGACACGCCGCGAGCAAAGCTCAGCATGGAAACTTCCTGGTGGCCATCAAGCAGGAGAAGGGAGAGGCGGCGCGGACGAGCGGCGAGAAGCCACATGGCGAGGAGGAGGTGAGCTCTGGAGCCTGCATCCCTCCCTGTACGGTCCCCAGGAGCAGGGTCTGTGTTGCCCAGCCTGGGACTGTCCCTGTGCTCAGCTGGGTGAGCCCATGGCTGTGGCCTGAGGAAAGGCCCAGACCTTCCCTTGAGGGACAGGAGGCCCAGGTGGGTCTGCAGGCTGCTCCTGTGCCCTGCTGGTGTGGTGGCATCGTGCACTCTGATCCATACTGTTTTCCCTTTCCCGCCCCTGGATGCCAGCCAGTGAAGAAGAGGGGCTGGCCCAAGGGCAAGAAGAGGAAGAAGATCCTTCCCAATGGCCCTAAAGCCCCCGTGACGGGCTACGTGCGTTTCCTGAACGAGCGGCGCGAGCAGATCCGCACACAGCATCCTGACCTGCCCTTCCCCGAGATCACCAAGATGCTGGGGGCTGAGTGGAGCAAGCTGCAGCTTTCGGAGAAGCAGGTACCGGTCCCTAGAAGAGACCCCCCCCAGGGCTGGGCAGTGTACTCTGAAGCCTGGACCCCAGACCCCTCCACTCGCTGCCTGCTCTGCAAAGGGAGCTTGTCCCAGGACTGGCAGGTGGAGAGCAGGAGCTGGGCCTTGAGTAGTGGGGAGGGGTCAGCAGCCCCCAGGGGAGGCTGAGGACCCTCTATGGCCATAGCGGTACCTGGACGAAGCGGAACGGGAGAAGCAGCAGTACATGAAGGAATTGCGGGAGTACCAGCAGTCAGAGGCCTACAAGATGTGCACGGAGAAGATCCAGGAGAAAAAGATCAAGAAAGGTGGGTTAGGGGAGTGATGTTGCTGCTGGGATCCAGCCAGGTGCTGCCAGAGCCTCAGGGTTTGCTGGGCTGGCTCCAGGCCTAACGCCCTTCCTCCTTTCCAGAGGATGCGGGCTCTGCGGCTGTGAACACCCTGCTGAATGGGCACCCGCACAAGGTAAGGCCCCGGCAGGTCTGCACGTGTGTGGGGAAACTGAGGCACGTGGCACTGCTGGGTTTGGCTTGCGCAGAGGACGAGTTGTGCTTCAGGGCACCAGCACCCTGCTCAAGCAGAGCCTGGAGTGGCAGGAGAACAAGCACTTGCCCTGTCCCTGTGCCTCCATTCTGCCCAGCCCCAAGGAGCCGGGGTCCCCTTCGGTGGGCTCAGCCCTGGCTGATCTATCTCCTTCTGACCCCCAGGCTGGTGAGTGCAGTGACACTTTCTCCACCTTCGACGTGCCCATCTTCACGGAGGAGTTCTTGGACCAAAACAAAGGTGAGGGGCTGGGCTGTGGGGCCGGGGCTGCGGGCGCTACAGCATCTTGCTTGTGGGATGATGCAGCAAGCAGAGCTGCTGCTGGAGCTGCGTGGGGCATCCTGTGGGGCAGAACCATGGCTGGGTCCTTGGTGAGGGTGTATAGAGGGACCAGATCCTGGCTGGAGCCCGGGGGTTGGTGACGCTGAGCCTCTTGGAAGAGTCATGGTTGGGGAAGGGACTGGGTTTGGGATGGAGAAGAGCCAGAGGGGCCGCCCCTGCTGACGCTGTGCAATCCCGGCAGCCCGAGAGGCTGAGCTGCGGCGCCTGCGGAAGATGAACACGGAGTTTGAGGAGCAGAACGCCATCCTGCAGAAGCACACAGAGAGCATGAACTGTGCCAAGGAGAAGCTAGAGCAGGAGCTGGCCCAGGAGGAGAGGCAGACGCTGGCCTTGCAGCAGCAGCTGCAGTCCGGGCGGCAGGGCCCCCCCGCCAGCCTCCCCCCCCCCCGGTGAGTTCGGGGTGGCCATAGGGCCCAGTCTGCTACTGGGAGCGGGTGGCTGTGCGGAGGGGCACTGTGTGTGGTGCGAGTGGGGGCAGTGGGGTGGTGACAAATACTCATCTGCCGACGGGATGGGATCCTGGAGCAGTTTTGGGGGCTCTGTGGGGAGCCCAGGGATGTAACTGCCATTGGCTCCCCTGTGGTGGGGTAGGGCAGGCTGGGGACTGTCCTCATCTCGAGCCATGGTTACAGCTGTGCCCATAAGGCAGGGATTAGCCCAGATCCTTTAATTCCTGGGTTTGTGTCGATGCAGGCTCTCTCCTGCTGCAGGAGATGGCACTGGGCGTTCAGGGTCCCTTCCCCAGTCACCAGCACGTTGGGCAGGGCTGGCTGGGGACTCGCTGGCCCTGCTGACTGTGCTGCTGCCTCGTAGGCACTGGGGAAACCCCCACGCTGAGCACTCTGGACTTCTACATGGCCAAACTGCACAGTGCCATTGAGAGCAACCCGCTGCAGCACGAGAAGCTGGTGGTGCGCATCAAGGAGATCCTGTCCCGGATTGCCAGGTGAGCACTGGGACCACTGGGTCAGTGCATGGCAGGGTGGGTGATGGAAACTGCTCCAGGCAGCTGGGAGAGAGAGAGAAGCCAACCCCCTGTAATTTGGCCTTGCTTTCCTCCCTCTTCAGTGAACACTTGTGAAGAGGACCAGTGCTCCCAGAGCCCAGGCTGGCCGGACAATGGGCCTGTCCCTTGGAGCCCAGGCAAGGGACAGTCTCAGCTGGTGGTCCGGCTGCTTCCCCCTTTGCCCCCCATGCCTCGCTGGACAAGCATCCCCCGGCCTGGTGAGGCTGGGCCCCGCAGCCGTGCCATCTCCAAGGACCTTGAGCTTCTGGGAACCAAGTGGGGACAGGGCTGAGTGGCCCCAGCTGCCATGGTGCTGAGCAAAGTGGTCAGTGGTGAGCGTGAGCATCCCCCCGCTCTCCTGGGAGCTCCCCAGCTCTGGCAGCTCCTCCTTGCTGTGCCAGAGATTCCCCAAAGGCAGACGAGGTCCCTGCTGGCCTGGAGGGGATCGGCCTCTTCCAGGCTGACTCGGGGGCTGCTGTTACCCAGCCTGGGATGGGATGGGATGGGGGCAGTGGGGTGCCCCGGGAGGCCCTGGGGCTCGGCGCTGCCTCCTGGCCCCTGTCCCCCTGCGGGTGAGGTGGCAGGCGTCCTTCTCCCGCCTCTTGCTTTATTTAATCTTCCCTCTTCCCCTCACTGCTCCCCTATGGGTGCCTTCAGCCCCCTGCCTGTGTCACCCTGCCTGTCACCTCTCCTTCCCCTGCACCTCTGGGACCAGGCAGGGCAGCTCCTGTCCCCTGCAGCCATGGATGCAAACAAAACCTTCACGCTGGAGGGAGAGCTGGGACCGAGCCCTTCCTCCCCACGTGAAGGAGCCTGTGGGGTGGTGCAGAGGCTTTTGACTCCTGCTTCCCTGCCCGATCCTCCCTGTATTATGGGACCACCGTGACGGCAGCCATGTCCACGCTGTGCTGGGTTGGCCATCCCCGGGGCTGCCTGTCACTAATCTCAGACTGTAATTAGAGAGTGTGTTATTTTCTTACTAGCACTACGTTGATCTGGCCCTGGGTTTAACCCAGGGCTGCTGTGCACCCACCCATCTCTCGCCTGCACGGTCCGTGCTCTGTAGCTGAGTCTCCTGGTTGCCATCTCATGGTGGCCACTTGGGTGTCAGGATGGAGATGGGAGCAAATAAATGTGGGAGAAAAACCAGCCTGGGCTTTGTGTGTTCGTGCTCAGAGGTGGCTTTGAAGCTGTTCCTCTGGGTCTGATCCTGGGGACTCTGGGGTGCATAGCAAGGGTGACCTCCTCAAGCTCATCCTGCAGCCCCCAGCCCCACTGGGGAGGGGGCAATGGGGCTGGCCCTGGGCCGGGCGCTCTCCCACCTCCTCCAGCCTGGTCGGGGCCCTTCCTTCATGGCAGAGCTCACCTGATCCCAGCGGGTGACCTGTGCCACCCGATCGGGTTCCTCGGCCTGGGGATCACCTTACGGCCGTGCTGGGAGCCGGCACCCATCTATAATTCAGCGGTG